ACCTGACACCTACAGGTAGTTTGATATTTTTCTCCTTACCCCTGAAGGACACCTTCCCCATTGCTTGTGGATCTACCCGTTCTCTGAGATGGGGAGCTGTGGTGCAAATCAGGGCCAAGGGTTCATCAGGCAAAATAGGCTGGTGCAGGCTCTGATTCGTCCACTTATGTGATGCAAAGGGTTACCTAAAGAGCTTGTGCATTTACTGGAGTAGTTTTGAAAGCCTGTTGAGGACCTCAGAGCCACTAGGGCACTTCTCCTGTGGAGTTATAGATGAGAAATAAGCAAGTGGAGACACCCAGGTGCACTAGTGACTGTGTGTTGCTGCCTCCAACCTTTCAAGGATCTTAGAAGAAGATGCTACAGGTCAAAGATGTTGCTGTGTGTCCCTGGAGAGCCCATCAAGCGGGATCTCTCTGCTCTCAACCAGGCATCAGAGGCACCAAAGCATGCACCAGAGGGGCAGTCAACCATGTGGGAAGAGAAAGCTGGGATTTGACTTTTTCTGCTTTTTCCCCTTAAAAAAGGAACTGCTTCTTTGAACGTGGTCCATACAATATTATCCCACTTGGCACAAGCAGAGGTGGTGGTTAGTTACGAGCAATAGGACAGCTTTATATCAAGAAATAAATAGTATTTGAAGGCCTAATAGGAGTTTTAGTGGTATCCAGGGGGAGTTTCAAGTTGGAATTTCATTCCAGACTACACCGGGTCAATTTCTGTCCTAGCAAAGACCCTCTGTGTTTGCTTTGATTTTAGTTCCTCTAATTTTTCTCTTTCTCTTACTCTTCCCAAGCAATATTAATCTGGCATTATGTGTGCCCTGACTGAATGTGAACACACATGTATTGCCCATAGTGACTCTCACTGTGTGGCTCCCTTCTACTTTCAGAGTAAATAGGGATATCTAGGATCATTGGACTTCAAAATCATGGAAAAAGTAGAAAAGGACATCTACTGGGGGCATAACACTGCTGGTTTTCTCCGTGCAGCCACAGCAGCCCTGTTGATTCAGCACACACCTGACTTATTCTGCATAAGGTGGGAAGTGGTTGGACAATACAGCTCACTCGGTAGGAGGTTTTCTCCTAGTTGACATAAGTACAGTGCAAAAACAACTCAAAAGGCAAATATATTCCTGCTTTATAACCTTTTCCTCCTCATTTGCTTCTGAGTCAAAAGAGGTTGGTGTTTTGACAGCTGATTATTTTTTTTCTGGTCTCTGAGATAAAACACTTGACAGAAATTCTTCACCCAACTGATTTTTGCTGCTTTTATACCATGCACCAGACGTTAGTTAGTTAGTTTTTGTCTTGTCTGTTATTTTCACAACTCTTTCATACCTCCGTGGCATGACAAGAGCTAACCCACATCACCCCCTTGCTTGACTGGTCCTGCAGTGAGACCCACGTGGGACCCGCACGGGGAAGGATCAGGAGGCAACAGCTCTAGGTCTTGCCATGGGTCTGGTAAGACCAGAAACCTTGAGGTTAATGACCCAAATTCACTAGATACATTGCTAAAAAATGTACTTGTGTGTTTGTATGCTCATGCTGTGTGAATCCTTGTCTCCTAATGTACATACCCTATGGCTGATCCCCTTTCTGCCAGTGGTCATCCTTATTTTAACCCTCTTTCAATGTTTTTTTTCCTGCCCTCCCTGCATTGGCGCTAATGTTGTCCTCCCTGTTGACTCTCTTAATGTCCTGCAATGTGCAAAACCAGCAGGAAATGTAGAAATTTCCACATTGGTTTTTGTTTTTCCCCCCTTTTATTTTGTCTGCACAGTTAGTTTCCACAGGCATTGTGGACTTACACATTAGGGAAAGTTCAGGAGAACGTGGGGCCGTGTCAAACACTGCGAGAGAATGGCCCACGCAGAGCGCGATGGATGATGCTGACTATCCGTTTTAACTAAGCTGCAAGAATTCAACTGCTTTTCATGAATATTCATATGAAATGGAAAGCTGTTTAACCCGGCTCTCACATCTGCCTGGTGGGAACACTTCAGTGCTTATGTGTTGCTCGTATGACTACTTGCAAGACATGAATTTTAAACCCGACTGCTCAGACAGTGATGGAAACCCAACATGAAACAGTACCCTTGGTCGTGAAATTTGCAATTCACTTTCCACCGAGTTAGCTACACGAATCATCTCATCAAGGAACGCCACACGACTGAACCAAGCAACACGGTATGAATTTGCAAACATTTGCCATTCCCAGAAGATCTGCAAGCCAAGAGGTATTCACCGAATAAAGGAGAAAACTGCACGAGCTCCGCAGACAATTCATAAGCAGAAGGGCAAGTGAGAGTTGTGGCAAAACAAAAGTACTCGTTGGGCTCCCAAAGAAAACAGGGAAGTTGTTTCTGGGCAGAGTGAATCAATCTGACGCCGTTTGCCTCGTTATCTGCTGTACCTCCACGGAGCAAAGGGGATGCTGAAAGATCTGGAGTCGCTTGTGACAGGCTCTCAGATGAACGGCAGAAGTTTTTTCTAAGTGGCAAATTTGTCTGGAATAGTTTTGAAAGCAGATTTAGTTTTTGGAGCCCGGGATTTGCAAAATGTCTTTTTTTTTACAGTGGAAATAGGAACGTGCTCCCGCAACGGAATTCCTCTTTGCCTTTTGCCTCATCGGGAGCTCTTCGTTCAGCCTCATTCCCTCAGCTCCACTGTTTGTGTTCCCCTTGCACCATCCACACACCATCCTCAACCCTCCTTTGCCATGTGGGGCTACCACAGCCTGGGGGACCTGCCCAAGTCCCCCCCCAAGGAGCCAGTGGCTGCACACAGGTCAAACACAGTCTCCCACCTCCTTGCAGTCCTTTCCCTTCAACCCCTTCCCTCAAAAAGGCACCGAAGTAAAATTGTCCAAGCCTCTGGACAAAGTGAGAGATGGAGAAGAAAAAATAGGTGCTGCTATTTTACTCCACATTGCACTGCTCGTTTCTGACACAGATTTAATATCTCTGCATAATATCTCTTTGATCCGCGCTGCAAACCGCCAGAAACAATTTCTTTGGAAGAAAGTTTTTGCTGTTATCGTTTTATACCAAATAGTGTCTATGACACAGATTGAAACAATTTTTTCCCCCTCAATTTGCAATGCAAAGTAACGCACTTGACTGAAAAGTTACTGCTTGGATCAAATGCAGAATATTTATGTCATGTCTCTTAAAAGGAATTCTTACCATTCCTGATCCAATATTGCTTCTCTTTGGCACAATCTGTATTTACTTTGGCTGAATGCATTTAGCACTTTCGTTGTTAAATTGTCATTAGCGTTTTGTTGCTGAATGAGTTAGATCATGACCTATTTGCAATGTAGTATAACACACTGAAATCTCCTAGTTAGAATGAGTAAATTCAAATTACTCAGCGAGTTCCTGCAATATATATAGGCTTTTTTTTTTTTTCTAATGAAGATTTAATGAAAACAATCAGTCTAACAGAATTCTCTAAGTTGTGAGATTTTGACATCAGTATTGTAAATTATGCTTAACGACACCTGCATTAAAGTAGATTTAATATGGCACCGTAACCTTAATTTTTAAAATTTAGCACAGCAAGTGCCACCGTGCCTCTTGCTGCAAGACACGACTCTCAGCTCCTTTAAGTGCATTTTTAATAGCTCCTGTGAGAAGCATTTCCGCAAGCAGAACATTTTATTGTTGCTAAATACCTCTCGCTCTGTAAGTCTCTCTGTTGTTTGGAAATGAAACTTTAAGGCACAAGTCGAAACAATTCGTCAACACCGGGAACGTGACGCCCAGATTGAACACCCCAAACCCTAAGGATTCTGCACCTGGATGGGCATAAGGGTTTCATTCATTAAGTTCCTGCTGCTGATCTCAGTGTGGGGGTCACACACAAGGATAAAAATGCAAACCCAGAGCCCAAGCACCAACCAGGACACCTCGCTGCCCCGATTTGCCATCCAGACCCCACTCGTTGATGTTTGGACATTTTCTCGTGGAGTGATGCTAAACAGGCACGTCATAAAAAAAAAAAAAAAAAAAAATTTTTTTTTAAGCTAAAAAGGGACCGTAAAAAAAAAAAAAAAAAAAAAAAAAGTACCTGAGGTTTCTAACTTTGCATATCAGCTCCTGGACTTCTGGCAGGGGGGAAAAACAAGCTTCTTGAAGGGGAAGCTTTCCTGTTATACTACTGAGCATTCATTCCCCCCTCAGCCCTCGCTGCCAGCCCTTCCAGCATCCCGAGGAATGCCGTTTACATCCCTCCCCACACCGGTGTTTCTCAGAGGGAGGGAGGGTGCCAGGGGGCAAGGGGGGGCGTAAATCATACCTTTTTCTGTCTGAAACTACAATTCTCATCTAGCAAAACAATGCCAACGGTGCGGAGGAAGCTTTGATTATGCAAAATGGATGGACACACCGTGCCTGGGTGGTTTTTTTTTGTTGTTGTTGCTTTGTTTTTCAATAGGTTATAACCTAAGGAGTTCCTCAGCCGGAAAATCCCTCCCGCCTCCCCCCACCCCGGCTCTGTTTTCCCCTTTTCAAATGACATTGGTGGCACTCACTCCAGACACATTTTACACCTTAATAGCATTGTCTCCCTCATCATGCAGGCTCCATAGCTCTCCTCTTCCCCTTTTATTTCAGGGCAGCTTCCCCTCTCCCATCTCCCAGCTCAGGAACAGCCCGGCAGGCTCGGCAGAAAAGAAGTGGGATTTTTTTTTTCTTTCCTGCGTGACCTCTATGCATTTTACTCCGTGGGAAGAGCAACGTGGAATGCACACTCAGCAGGCAGCGAGACCGGAGCCGGATTGTCCTCGAGGCATTTCTGCCATAAAACGCAGGACTTATCCACAGTATTTCCACCCTTGGTTCTGCTCCCCCCACCCTCCGGGTCCCATCACCCCCCTCCCCACCGCTGCTGCCAACCTGGGTGCTCTCAGGAACAGCCAAGGAGCCAAGCACAAGCAACAACGGGCACCCGAACAGCAACAGCTCCCTTTGTTTCCCATGCAAATCCTACCTCCGAGAGTTGTCACATCTTCCTCCCAGGCGAAGCCTAATTAGGAATAAACAGAGATCCAGCCGAATCCTCCAAACTGCCACCAGTTGTTAAGCGCTGTCATCCTTCCCTCACGGTGCTTGGAACCTTTTTGGACCCTTAATGTCACCACCTCTGCTAACTCATAGCTTAGTTCTCCCTGCTCAAAATGTCTGAAATAGTTTGGGAGGACAATAGGAATGACAGGCACACTAGACAGCCATGCTTGAAAATTAGTTATCTCGAGCTGACTTAAGGCTGTTTCGTCGTGCTTTTAAGGCATGCACTCGGGAGGGTTTATTAACCTAAGCTGGACGTGCCATTCCTGCTTTTACTCAGCGCCGTAACAGGATGGCTGCTCCAAATGCAGCGCTAGCTCTAACCCCCTTCATCCCTCCCTAGCTTTTAAACCTCCCCGGGAGGAGAAATAGCTTCAGTCATCCTTAAACTTACAGAGGCTACCCTTTCTGCAGAGCAAGGGTTTCACACATTGTTTTGAAACTAAGGAGAAAAACCACTCCTGGGGAAGGGGGAAGGTGCCAGTAGCTCTCACCGCTGATGCGAACGGCAAAATGACCGTGACAGCGTCCGCCCCCGCCGCGAGCTGTCGCAGGAGTTAGTGAAAGTAGTGATTGGAAGCTGAAAGTTCATAAAACTCGTCACATAAGGCAGATGTGGCAGCAAGAGAGTCAGGAAAGGGGGGGAGGGAGGTGTCATTGGACCCTGTATTGACAGAATTAATGATGTACGCTGCACTTCCCACAAGGCAAAATGGAGTTTTTTTGGGTGGCGGGGTCTTGTAATTTAAATTTGCAAGTTGGTAGCGCCTGGGATAATGATGAGCAGAAGAAAGGGGAGCCATGCATGGGATTTGCAGTGCCCAGGATGCAGGGAAGAGGGGAGGTGAGAGGATGCTATCACCGGCTGCCGTTCTCAGTAAAACCACCCCCATCTTTAGATCCCCCAGGTTAGAAACACGGGTGCTCTGCCGAGACCTTGGAGCCCCTTTTTCTTCTTGGTTGTCAGTTAATCACCATCCCGGGTCAAGGTGGATCAAAGCTCTTTAACATCTGCTGGCAGTTGAGTGTTGCTGAGCTCAGTGTGGTCCCTAGTGGGGAGATGTAAAAGCCACCAGCAGAGACCTGTCTCTGCCAGCAGCAGTGGCATGGGGGCTGAAGGACCAGAGGGGTGATGGACCCGGTGCCAGGGCAGGCTGGGAGAGAGCAAGTGGGGAGTTAGTGCTTTTGCTGCTTGTTCAGCACCTGCCTGGATGTTTTTTTGGTACCACCCAGTTCACAGCCCTTGGCTTAAAATGAAAATACAAATGTCTCCATGCCTGGAGACATCTCAGAAATGAACGGCATTTGGAGAGGTTAAGGAGGAAAGCTGATCAAGGTGAAAACCCATCGGTGGCTGCCTCACACCGTGGGACTGAAGGGGTTAAGAAAGTACTAATGGCAAATATGCATTAGGTTTTTAAATGATTGGGGCCTGAGGGCACTGGGGGTTGGTTCAGGTGTGAGCCTTCTCCTTTGAGCAGCTCTGGCGTGGATTTGTGTTGGTCCTTTGCACTGGTGACTGTCACAGACTATTTGAAAGTCTGCCTTGCTGAGAGGAGGCTGCTGGTCTGTGCTGACCCAGCTGGTAAGTTCTGCCTTGCTCCCAGGGGAAAATCACAGAATCAGAGAATGCCATGGGGTTGGAAGGGACCTCTGGAGATCATCTAGTCCTACCCCCTGCCAGAGCAGGGCCACCCAGAGCAGGTTGCACAGGGACGTGTCCAGGCGGGTTTGAATGTCTCCAGAGATGGAGACCCCACCACCTCCCTGGGCAGCCTCTTCCAGGGCTCTGACACCCTCAAAGGAAAGTTCTTCCTCATGTTTAGGTGGAACTTCCTATGTTTCCTGATGGTGAAATGGGCAGCTTAAACCCCTCTGTTTTTCCACATCGCTTCCTGCCACCGACACACCAGATGCCTCCACTGCCAAGGGCTTTACCAAAGAGCCCATCAGCGCATGTGCTCAGTGTGGGCTACGGGTCTCCTCCTTCTGAACTGGCCTTCATGGAAACTATTGAATGAAAGCAAGCTTGTTGCTGGTGCAGGCCAGCCATAGATGCTGATGGGGACATCTGGGGATACCACAAGCATGACATTTGTCCCCAAATCAACATTTCTCCTGTGCTTGCCCAAACTTTGCTTGCTGTCACTCTTGGGCAACCTCCCTTCTCTTTTCCACCCCCTGCACCTTCCACAGTCAGTCTCTTGGAGGGAAGGTCTCAGGGCTACAGTTTTGTTTCTCAGGTTTGCAGTGGGGGATTATTAGCATCTTAAGCTTCTCCCCAAATTGGTGGGAGCACAGGGGACTTTTAATTTTGTAGGCTCGAACCTCAGGGTGGACCATCACACGCAGACTGCTAGCATGGCTGCCAGAACAATACCTGCCTTGTGAATAATTTAAAGAATTTTTTCACTGCCACTTATCTGGCATTTTTCAGAAGTACTGCATTCACCTTAAGGCAGAAAAAAAAAAAGGGGGAAAAAGGAAAAGTTCTCCTTCTCCTGAGCAATATACTTGTGTCTGTTTAAGGGGCTCACTGTGCAATTGATTTGTGAGTGGGATGACACAGCAGTTCAAGAGATGTTAGAGAGATTCCTGTTGGAGACACACAGGTCTGTGAGTGCTGAGTGTCTTGGTGATCTTTTGAGAGATTTCAGTACTGAAATGGACACAACAGTGTTCAGTGACAGGTTAAAGCAAGAAGAGGAGGCTGAGGTGAGACCTTATTGCTCTCCACAGCTCCCTGAAAGGAGGGGGTAGCCAGGGGGAACTGGTCTTTTCTCCCACGTCACCGGCAATGGGACAAGAGGAACCGGCCGCAAGTTGGGCCAGGGGAGGTTTAGATTGGATATTAGGAAAAAAATCTACCACCAAACGGGTTGTCAAACATTGGAACGGGCTGCCCAGGGAAGCAATGGAGTCACCATCCCTGGAGGTATTTAAAAGCCAGGCAGATGTGGTGCTGAGGGACATGAGTTAGTGGTGGGTTTGTCAGTGTTAGGGTGATGGTTGGACTCGATGAACGGAAAGGTCCCTTCCAACTGAGACAGCTCTATGACTCTATCATTGCCACCCATGTTTGCAGTTCACCAATTACATGTTGCTGAATACATAAAAAAAGGGATGAGTATCCCAGTTCTCCCCTCCCTTATGCAGTGAATAAACTACTTGTGGACCTTCCTGAACCCAAAGGCTTCACTCCTTTGCAGTAGGTTAAAGTCACTTAGGCTTGGTGGTCATCAGGTGATAACTATCTGTGAGAGCTGCCTCATCCAACAAACAAGATGGATTTACATTAGGTGGTAATTGAAAGGTGGGTAAATGATTTAAGGTGGTCATCACGGAGGTTGATCAGAAAGTTCTAGGGGCTGATTTGTTCAAAATGGTTTGGTCTTAGAGAGATATTCTGAGATCCTCCCCCTTTCCTCAGGCTTTTTCTAATCACTGAGGAGCAACAGCAGCTGCCATCAGTGATGGGACTCATGTGCTCCCTACCCTTGCCACGGCTCTACTGCTGGTGCATTTTTCCGATGCACCAATCTGCTCCTTGCTGGAAACAAGATATAGAAAGCGAGGGAGCACTGATTTCATCAGGTATGGCAATTTTCTGTCTTCCTGGACTGTATGAATCTTGCTAAGGAGGATTGCCCTGGGAAACAGAGGGCTCACATGGGCTTTCACTTTGCCCTCCATCAGCACAACCATATTGACTTCTGCGGGAGCCGAGATTGTTGCAGCTCCTTTGCAAGCAATGCGTTTTCTCGGAGAGGGTCCACAGCTGCGGAGCTGAGCAGCAATTTAAAGCATCTCTTTCTGATGGGTATTTGCTTAGGAAACAGCCAAGGAAGATGAAGGAGAGGAGGAATTCAGAAGATTTGTAGTTTGCATGCTGACTCTAAGTCAAACAATATAATGAATGGGGCAACTAATGCATAATTTCATTATGAGTCATCCTAATTATAACGAGAATTTGATGGATACATAACTAGAAAGTGTAACTGTCTGCTACAAATACACATTTCTAATTGCACAGGGAAGTACACAATATAATTAAAGCTGCAGGTTACACATACAATAACCCTTTTTTTTCCCCCTGTGGAGACAAATTCTCTAGGAACAGTATGAATTTGTTTTGAAGTTGTGTGTCTATCAGACAGCATTCTTTCTACCCCCTTGCTGAGTCTTTTTCAAACAGCAGCAAGGAGTCTCTCTAATCCGTAGATACTGGGTGTGAGCGGCGTATTAAAGGAATTGCAGGAACGATCTATTGATGGTTCTTTCATGTTGGGTCCCTCTGCAGAGTGTCACTGGTCAACACAGCGAGAGCCTGGCAGAGCTACATGTTATGTGTATGGCAGGTAACAGCTTGTGTTATGTATAATTAGAGTGTTAAATGAAAATTAGTCTTAAAAAGGAGAAGGATCCTTCAGAAGTGGCCAAATTCTAGATACTCTTGGGCGTGACGGAGCCCAAGACTAGACTAGATACACATCTAGATACTCTTGGGCATGGTGGAGCCTGAACTCAGAACTGAGTTTTGCAGATGGTGACTGTTCCCTAGAAAGGGTGAGTCCAGCACGGGGGAAGATAAATTACCCAATGGTGATCTTGGCTACATGTGTTAATCCCAGAGACAGAGTCTTGTAAATGCAAGAATTATAAAGAAAGCTGGTTGATGTCGGTCCCTACATTTACATGGACCGGCTGGAACAGGTCCAGCGGAGGGCCACAAAGATGATCAGGGGGCTGGAGCACCTCTCCTATGAAGACAGGCTGAGGGAGCTGGGATTGTTCAGCCTGGAGAAGAGAAGGCTCCGGGGAGACCTTGTAGCGGCCTTTCAATACCTGAAGGGTGCCTATAGAAGAGCTGGGGAGGGACTCTTTGCCAGGAAGGGTAATGATAGGACAAGGGGAAATGGTTTTAAATTGGAAGAAAAAAGATTCAGATTAGATCTCAGGAAGAAATTTTTTACTATGAGGGTGGTGAGACACTGGAACTGGTTGCCCAGGGAAGTTGTGGATGCCCCATCCCTGGAGGGGTTCAAGGCCAGGCTGGATGGGGCTTTGAGCAACCTGGTCTGGTGGGAGGTGTCCCTGCCCAGGGCAGGGGGGTTGGAACTTGATGATCTTTGAGGTCCCTTCCAACCCAAACCATTCTATGATTCTATGATTTACAGCTCTGGCTGGTCTCCCTTCTTTTTCCTGTGGTAGAACAGGCAGCACCCATGTCTCCCACAACCTCAGAGAGCCATAGGTGACATGCCACCACTGGAAAACACTCAGCCAGGCTGTCCCGGGTGACTGGTCAGAAACTACTATCTTTAGCATAAAGTCAGAAATCCCTTGTTGGCTGATGGTGAAATGCAACCCAAACACTGATGGTGTTTGGCCAAAGTCCTACAAGTCTCTCTTGTGCTGAGAATCACAGGCCACCCAAGTGTCCTGGAAACATGTTCATTTAACTGAGTTATGTTACAC